GTGTTATCTCACTGGTAGCTGACTAGGTAGCTGCAACCTGGTGTGAAGGGGAATGGAAGAATAGCTATCTCCTCCTCATGCAAAGTCTTTTAGCCATCCTGCGCACCAAAAAGTTGCAGGTTCGATCCCGTCAGGGCACCTACAGGAGGCAATCGATCAATGTTTCTCTCTTTCCCTTCCTCTCTTTCTGAAATCAATAAACATATTCTCAAGTGAAGATTTAAAAAAAAGTTAACAGCCACATATGCTGCCTGTAACTAAAGGGACTGGTGATTATGCCCATTTGAAAGGATCATGGAGCTTCAGAACAGGTAGAAGGACCTAGGGCTGAACGAGGCTGGCCAGACCCTCGTGTCTGTGTTTGTGACCCAGAGCTCAGGGCCTCAAGAGGAAACTGATGCTCAGAGAGGGAAGTGACTTGCCTGAAGCAACAGTTACAACTAAACCTCTTCCTGATTCCGAATCTAGCGGTTCCCCCGCCGTGCTGCACCGTGGACAGGCCCGGTCTCCAAGGAGGAAGCTCCGCTCAAGTCTTCACATCCTCCAGGGAGACCCCCCACCTGGGGCTTGTCCACACTGAGCTAGCCCCCTGCCCTTGTTCTGTCAGTCCTCCCCACTGGGTCCCCTACTTTCTCAGCCTAAACAGTTGACCTGAGGAGAGGGGAGACACCACCCAGACCAGGCTTTCTACCCCACAACTCCTAACCAGTGGCACCCCGTACACACACCCCGGGCCCTGCCACACCGGTTCCCCCTTCCCAGGGCTCACTCCTGCCCCTCCCCAGCATCCCGGGTTCCTTCTCTCCCGAGCACGATTGCTTTGTGCAGAAACTAGACTGTGACTGTCCATCGGTCCTACCGATGGGGTGGGGCTGCAAGGCCAGAACACAAGCACGCTCATCTCCAGGGCCACGGTGCACACAGGGCTGAGGGGAGAAGCCAGTGAAGGCGCATCTGCTGAGTGAAGGGACGGGCAGACGGATGAACGAATGTCCAGCGTTGTGGGAACCCACAGCGCTCCTGCGCCTCCGTCCTGACGCTAAGCACGCCACCCGGCAACAAGAACACCTCCCTCACACTTTCCCATGTCTCTCTGCCTCCCCTTCCCCTCGACCCCTCCTCCTCCTTCTTCTTCTACCTCATCTCTCTGTCTCAGAGAAGCAGGAGACAAGGCATCTGTTTTGGTCTTGGGAGGCAAGGAGGAAGGTGAAGAGCATCTTAGGAAGAAGGAACAGGCCGGCAAATGCACAGAGCCTGGGGCGGGAGGGGAGGGCTGTGCCGGAGGAGGAGGGGGGCAGATGGCAGCAGGACAGGCGCAGGAGGCCAGAAAGAGTCCCTACCAGCCTGGGAGGGACTACAGATTGGACCTTTATCCAGAATACAGCACACGCCCCTGGCAGTACCTGCTGTGGTTGAGAAAGATCAGTCTGGTAGTGTGGCCCACACTGGGAGGGGGCGGTGTGGAGGCAAGGAAGCCGGCAAGGAGACCCCAGCCAGAGCCCAGCCGCTCCAGCCACGGGTCCTTCTGAGCCAGCCCCACCTCTTCTGACCATGGTAGAGGCCCCGTTCCTTTCAGCCTCCAAAGACATGCTGCACGTTCCCTCTGCCAGGAACGCCCCTCTCCTTCTGACCCACTCGTGTTCGAAGCCCCTGCTCTAAGCCCCCCTCTTCTCTGAAGCTCCCACCTCCACAAGGCCCCAACTCTGGCTAAAACTGAGCACGCTTTCTCCTGAATCCCAAAGCTCAGGTCGTCTATCCCGCCCCCCTTGGAACGGAATCATGCACCACCTTTCTCTACTCTTCTGTGCTTGGGCAAGTCTCGCCAAAGACGCTGCCCTCCACTATCCCCTTCGTCATCCCTGTTAACAGCTGCATGGTGCTTTCGCAGGGGCCTGCTCCTGGCATCAGCCCTGGCACAAGCTTCCTGGACAGTGCTAATCCCTCAGGTGGTGTCTGGGTCTCCCTCACGCACTGGGCTGTGCTCCCTTGGAGGCAGCTATGTTAAGCAAAGGACTTCAAAACTAGTGGGTCCCTGAAAAATACCTGTTCCTTTGGGGCCCGTGAACCCAGGTCCATCTCCCACAGAAACACGGCCCAATGCACACGGCCTCCACCTCGCCACTCCACACACAGCCACCCAGGAGAAAGGGGCGGGATGGCCATGCCATAGCTGCAGGCAGCTGTTAAAAGCCATGAGGTACATACACAGGCTGCCACAGAAATAGAATAGTAATAATAATGATGGTGGCAGTGGCAACTGGCATTTATAGGGACAAGTACTGTTCCTTACATGTTTATATAAATTAACTAATTAAATCTTCACTGCAGTCCTGTGGGGCCAGGACAGTTATTATTCCCATTGTACAGATAGGGACACTGAGGCACAGGGCGTTTGTCCCTGACTCTACAGGGACAAATGGAAAAGCCAAAGGAATGTGCACAGTAAGAGCCTGAGGTGTGTTCTCGTTTGGAGGGGAAAAAAGCGAGGTGTTGGAATGCGTGACAGCTACATCGTGAGCAGCGAGGTGTCTAGAAGGACAAGCTCCACTGTGAACCGGGGTCCATGGGAAGAGGCTGGGGTGTGGAGGGCATTTTACTCTATGTACTTTTTTTTTTTTTGCATTTTTTCGCAATGAGAAGAAAAATCCATGTGTTCCTTGAGTAATTAAAAAAGAGAGAACTTGGGGGGTGGAGGGTAGTAAAAGGTAAAGGGGGTCAAATAGATGGTGACAAAAGAAGTTTGACTTTGGGTGGCAAGCACACAATGCAATGTATATATCACGCATCATAGAAATGTGCACTTGAAACCTTTGTGATCCTGTTAACCAATGTCACCCCAATGGAATCAATAATTTAAAAAAAGAGAGAGAACTTGTTAGGGCCTCTTAATGTTTGCTGAATGAATAGAAGCCAGATTCATTTTCTAGCTTGTTTTTTTTTTTTTTCATACTCTGGTTATGACCCATTAGTGGACTGTAAAATCAATTTAGTGAGTTACAACCAGCAATTTTTTAAAAAATCAGACAGACTAGAATAGAAAGTACCAGATCAACAGAGGAAGGAAAAGACAGTTATTTTACTAAATCTTCATTTCGGTTATGTACAATGGGGGTGAACAAAACTGCAACCTAAAATGTAATTCTTACCACGGGTCACTAGCAATAACTTGAAAGTCACTGGCGTAGACGTCTTAGTCTATAGAAGAATAAGACAAGGGCCTGGCCTGCAAGGGCCCCTCGGTCCCACGGGAGAGAAGGAAGGTTTCGCAGAGGTGAGTTTCCTCTGTTTAGGAGGTCAGAGGGGCCCCTGGCTGTTGGGAAAGGTCCAATGGAGCCCACTCCAGACTCAGCCTGGATCAACCCCTGGTGTACTTTCCCTCCAAGGCTTTTGCTTTTGAGAGCCTTTGCCAGAGTTTTGGGGTTGAGCCTCCCCCAGACCAGAACATCTGCCCACTTCACTGTGTCACCTAAAAGGCCACTTCTCCTTGCCTAAGGATCTCTCCCTAGGTGCTCCTGGGGCCCTTCCCTCCCTTGTTGTCAGCTAGAAGATTCCTTCCCAGCTCCCGCAGGAGGAGGGCCAGGGAAGCCTCTGGAAACACAACCAGGTGGTCAGCTGGTCAGCTGGCAGGGGCCCTACCACCCCAGAGTGAGCCTTAAGGGGACACAGCCAGTGCGGATGCAGGATGGGGGGACAGTGGGGGGAAAAGAAGAGCCCCCAGCCTGGGGTGCGCCGGGGGAACTAGTGCCTCCACGTCAGAGCTCACCTAACCCACCTTCCCCCCCTCCCAGGGAAGCAAACTAAAAAGATGAAATAAAAAGAAGTAATTTCCCTGTTCTGACGTCAGCATGAGGTCTTAACAGCCCAGCAGAGGCAAGAGACTGGATTGCAACCAGATGTAACACTCTTGAATCCTCAACACACCGCTGCGTTAAAAGAGAAATAAGGTGGGGGTACACTCTGGGTGGGAGGGAACTGTGCAGCCCTGAGTGGGTCCTTGAATCAGAGCCTGCTGAAACCTCAGGAAAGGAGATTTGGGAGGGAATGTTGAGAGCTGGAAGCTCAGGGCCCAGGTCCGCCATTCAGGCGCGCTGCCTCCCTTCCCCCAAGCCCCCAACAGCGCATTGTTACATTGATCTATCCATTCTGAGCTGAAAACCCAGAGCTCCCCCTACCCAGGCTCCCAAGGCTCCAAGTGTCACCCTTGTCTCTTGCCACTCCCTTGCCCCCGCCGCGCTCAGCGATGCCGCCTGACGCCCGGCCCCCGAGTCCATCTCCTGCTTCCGAGGCGCTGGAGGCCATCGACCTGGCCGGCAGGTTGCTGTCTGGGGACATGGGGCTTCCGTATCCAGTGCCCGGGACTGAAATGCCACCCTCCGAAGAGCTAGCGCGCCCGGGGCCTGGCCGTGTCAGGGCTCCCCAGGCCTCTGGGGCAGCTTTCTGCTGGGTCGCGAGGCCTGCGCACAGGCCCCGGCGCCTCTGCTTGGGTTGGGGCATCGCGTTGAACCCCTTAAACCCCATCTCCCCACACAGGCCCTACCCGCCCCTCAAGTCCCTGGCTTCCAAGCTGTGGCCCACGCCCAGCCCCAAGACCCACAAGGAGACGTCGGCTTCTTGCCCCCCACCCCCTGGACGCACTCACAAAGTTCCTCTCCCGGCGCCGGGCGAATGCTCCCCATTCCCCCAACCCACGCTCAGAGAACACTTCACGCCCCCGAGCGCACAGAGCTTCCGGCCACACTCGACCCCCACTTCTAGCGCCCCCACGCCACGGACCGACCCCAGCCGGCCGCACAAACGTACCTGAAGACCCTTATCCACGGCGCAGGGCGCCCCCACCCTGCAGCTCCCCAGATGGCCATCCGGTGACCTCGCGCACACCCCCCACCCCACGCCACACAAAGCAATGACCCCGCGGACCCCTACGTGCCCACCCAACGCACTTCTATTCTTCACCGGGCCTCGGATCCTGACGCCCCCGCGACCCGGCGTTCGGTGCTCACCTCGGCGCCCCCGCTCACTTGGGGGCCCTGGGTCTGGCTCAACGACTTCGCGGCCCGGAGGCCCGGTAGGCCATTAGGAGTCAGGGCGCGTCGGCCCGGGCGGCTCCGGGCCAGGCAGGAAGGAGGGTGGGCCGCGGTGCCCCCTCCTTGCGCCGGCGCTCGGGCCGCGGTCAGGGCGGCCTGCTTGTTCCGTTCGCCTCTCGCCCTCGCCGCCGCCTCCTCGCTCTCCAATTTGTCTCTCCCAGCCCAGCCGCGGGCGGGGGCGGCACCTGGGGGCCCTGGGATCCGGCGGCGCTGGGATCCGGCGCTGGGATCCGGCCCTGGCCACGCACCCAGACGGGCCAGTCTTGTGGCCGAGGGGAAATGCTATCCCTTATGCACAGGAAGAGCAAGCCGGCGGTCGATGCGTGGGGGGAGAAGGAGAGCCAGAGCGGGAGGAAAAAAGTTCCCGGCGGCCTGGCTGCGCTTGCTTGCGGCCCCGGGTGCCAGATGGGCTGTGCGCGCCCCGACAGCACCCCCTGGCGGCCCACATGCCCCATTGCGCGTCCGCCCGCCCACCAGCCCGTGCGCCTTGGGGGAGGGAGGTTTGGTTGTGGGGTCCCAGTGGAGCCCTCGGGGACTCTCATGCGCCGCCTCGGGGTTGGGAACGCCGCGGGACGAAGTTGGGTGGACAGCTGGAACATGGGGCAGAGGATTTGGACCGACGTCCTGTTCTCAGGTGCTTCCAGTCTCTGGTCTGGCATCCAGGCCAGGCTTCCACCATTGCCCCATCATTAGCCCTCACCGGGAACTTCCTTTGAAACATTTTTGACTTCTGAATTTAATGCGCTGGATATAAATGCCTTCACTTTCTGGGCACCTGGTACCTTACTGGGCTTTGAGGAATCCATAGAGGTAGGTGGTCCCTGCAGTTATGGAGCTGGTGTCCTGGTGGCAAGGGACAGACAGCAAACAAATGCTTACTTACATATTAAGAGAAGATACTTGTAGGAAGTGATAAGTGCTAGGAAGAAAATTGGCAGGTGAAGTGACAGAGGTGGGCTCCTTACCTGGGAGTGTGAGGAGGTGGTCTATCTGGGCAGAGAGCTGCATAGCGGGAAGGAACCTGTCCCTGGCAGGCAACAGGAAGAGCATCTTTGGCAGAGGGGAGAGCAAGTGCAAAGGCCCCAGTGTGGGACAGAGCTTGGTGGGTGCTGAGCAAGGGGACAAGCCTCAGGGTCACCAAAGGCAGGACCCTAACACAGGTCTGGGGTCTCTGGGGCTGCAGGCGGCTTGGAGGGTAGGATTTACATGTGACTCTAGTCTGTGGGGAAGGAAGCCACTGGCAGATGATTTTAAGTAAAGGAATGTCAAATGAATGAGAGAATGAAACTATTAACTTACAGACTCCCTGACAGCTGCTGCTCCAAGGCTTCCATTCACCACAGCTCAGGCTGAAAGCCAGCAGCCAGCCGCTTAGGAAGACTCCCACCCCTGCCCCAACTCTGGGGCGCATGAGTCTTATGGGGATGGTCAAGGCATTGGAGCTCCCTGGTGGCTTGGAGACTAGTGAGTTCCTGTATCCAACCTGATCCACATCTGTCAAATAAGGCACTGAGGTTGCCAGGTACCATGCCCTTCTATCTTGGTAGGTCCCAGATGACAGTACCCCTTTCTCTATATCTCATTTGAGTCTGTAGCTTCTCTGTGTGCAGGCTGGTCACATTTCGCTCACGAGGAAATTGAAGTGCAGAGTGGTAAAGTCACCTGTGTGGTTCTCAGGCTGGAGAATCAGAGCCAAGACTTGTACCCAGCGCCCCTCCCATCAAGATCATGGGGGATGGTAAGAGCAAGACAGAAGCTGGATCGAGATGGGAACTGGGTTATTGTAATCTAGTTTTAAACACTGGCTCTGGAAGACACAGATTTGTTTTCTAAAGCTGGCTCCTCTGTGGCCAGCTGGGTAGCTTTGGGCAAACCATGTGACTTGCTGAGTGTCCATTTCTCCATCTGTAAAATGGGAATGATAGTGGTTTCTACTCACCTGGGGCTGCTGAGAGGATTAAATGAGGCAGGGTGTGGAAGTCTTTAGCCCAGGGCCTGGCATGCAGTGAACACTGTTAGTATTTGAGCTCAAATGCTAGGTGGGTGGGGATGGTCCCTTTCGTCGGTCCAGAGACTTCCTTGTACCTCACATGGTCCAGCCCCCTGCCTTCCCGGCCTTAGCCTGCTCCTGGACAGAACCTGGGGGAAAAGCCAGGAGCCAGGAACGTCAGTGGGCTGCAAGAAGGGGAGGCCTCTTGGGGGACGGAGAAAGGGTGGGATCCAGATGATAGCCACTGCCATTTTTGAGCACCTACTGTGTGCCAGATGACTTCCATGTGCAGTGGTTTCCTAGGGCTGCTGTGACAATTAACTACAAGTGGAGTGGCTTAAATCAACACATTTATGCTTTACAGCCTGGAGGGCAGAAGTCTGAGATTGGCTTCACTGGGCTAAGGTCCAGGAGTTGGTAGGGCTGGCTCCTTCTGGAGACTCCAGGAGAGAATCTGTCCTTGCCTTTTCCAGCTTCTGGAAACCACCTGTATTTCATGGCTCATGATCACTTGACCTCCAGAAGCTGGGGAAGTCAAGGAAATTGTTTCTGTTGTCACATGTCTCTCTCCCTCTGACCATCTTGCTTCCCCTCACAAGGACCCCTGTGATTACGTGAGGGCCACCTGAATACTCCAGGACAGTCTCCCCACCTCAAGACCCTGAATTTAATCACCTTGGCAAGGCGCCCCCCACCTTCTCTTGCCATGTAAGGAACTATTCATGGTTCCCAGAGATTAGGACCTGGATATTTTTGTGAGCCATTGTTAAGGCTTACTCAGAGAGTAAGGCTCTGAACCTTACTTTCCATGCATTCTCTGAATGTTTTCTCATCACAACTCATTTTACAGACAAGAAAATACAGGCTCAGAGAGGTGAAGTCACTCATACAGCAGGTAAGGTCACACAGCAGGTAAGTCTGTTCACCTATTCCATGCATATTATTGCGTGCACACTGTGGGTCAGACATCAGGTTAGGCTCTGGGTTGCTATGTAAAAGTTACCTATGAAAAGCAAGCTGTGAGATACAGGCACGAAGTGTAATGAGTGCTGTGGTCCTGTGGAGGAATACAGGGAAGGCTTCCTGGAGGAGGTGGCTTGGGAGCTGAAATCCGAAGAGTGCTTTTCCGCTAACTAAAACAGGTGGGCTTGTGAGAAAGAGCCACTTACCTGTGGGGTTCTCCATCCCGAAACTGCTCTGAGTGGTGCTTGCTGGCAGGGTGTGGGGCTTCTCGGGGATGAACCGGGAATGATCAGAGGTCACTGCCAGCATCACCAGCATCCAGGAGTCTGTTGAGAACTGTTTGTCGTCACCCTGAGCCAGATTCAGGTAAGAGGGTGAAGGAGGGAGTGGGCTCACTGTGCAACACAGACGTCTGTTTGAGACGTCTTGTTGGTACAAAGACGTGTTGGTACAAAGATCTCAGACTTGCAGCTCAAAGGTGGAATCCAGGCCAGGAGGCTGGGCTCGAAAGAACAATGTGTTTGAAAATTTTGGAGTTGAAATACCTTTAAAGACTCTAAATTCTTGGGCCCTACCACTGTGACCTATCGTTCTATACCCACATTTAAATCACCCAACTGACCATCAAAGGCATTTGAGGTTGAGATGTTCCCCCCTTCCCTTCCCAGGGTTCTTAAGGCCCAGTTTTGCATCTGAATGGCCTTGGGCTTGAACTCCATGTAGGTTTTCTCTTAGGCCAAAAGGAGATAATGACTCCTGCCTAGGGAGCGAGAGAGACCCCTGTGAGCTGGAAGACAGGGAAAGGGGAGGGATCTATCTCAAGATAAAGTCCTGTGCCCCGAGGGAAAAGGCTTTTTATTGGTTCAGTCAGTACCAGGCCAGGGAGCACCCCACCGAGCCATCCACCTTATTAGGTAGATACCCCCTCATTCAGTACCCGGAATGGAGGCTCAGGAGAGGAAGTACTTAGAACAGGGAGGTGTGGAGCGGGATTCAGGTTGGTCCTGGTGCCCAGCCTGGGCTCACCCAGGCTGCCATCCTGCCCCTTGAGGGTGAAAGACCACTGCGGCGCCAGTGTTCTGCACGATGAATCTCCTGAGCCCAGGCAGAGTGTGGGGTGGGTAGCAGGCCCCCGTTAGTGGGTATGTGGCCAGGGTTTACGGAACATTTTTTATGTGTTAGGCCCTGTGCATTTGGACGTCTGGTCTCCGTTTTGCAGAGGAGACAGGAGAACAGGTTTAGTCAGCGCCCAGAGGAGTGAGGTAGAAAAGCCGAGGGACTGATTCTCCCAGCCCCGCCCCATACCAGCCGCATGACCTGGGGCAGTTCCCAGCCTCTCACTTCTGCAGGGAGAGTGGAGGGAGCCCACCTCACGGGCTTGATGCAAGGTGTTAAAACCCTGCCGTGCCACAGAGCACTGTGTGGCTGCTGCGGCTTCCCTCTCCCAGCTCTGAATTGGCAGGTGCTGCTCCTCTACCCCTGCCCAAAGGCAAATGTCAGCGAGCCATTTCTTGCCACTCTCTAGCCAGTGCTCAGAGGCCGGCTGCAGGGAGGCAGGCCAGGGAAAGTGGTGGGGTTGCCCATTTCAGAGGAGTGCAGTGATGGGTGGGGCAGAGCAGTGAGACACCCTGGCCTTCCTGCAAAGAGAAGGTGACAGCCCTGCTTAGCTCCACGGAAGTCTGAGCACTGCAGGCTCTGGGCTTCCTCCTTCCAGTGCCAGGTCTCCTGGACCAGCAGGCCCAGGCCAGACAGACGTCATCCCTGGGATGCTCCACTCACTCGCTCACGCACTCATTCACTCAGTCACTACACATTCACTGAGCCAGGCCCTGTTCTAGACTTCACCTCAGGAACTGGATGATGCAGGCTCCACCAGCACCGCACGCACGGGTCTGGTGAGCCAGGCAGACACTGGACCCATCCTGGAGACCTCGTTATCTCAAGAAAAAGGTTGCTTGACTACAAATCCTCTTGCAACTGGGAAGGAACATTTTTTAGTAATTGCAGAAAAGAAGTTAAATTGGAATTATATTTAAAAAATAAAACTAAAGCTAGGAAAATACTTATATTTTATCTTCTGTTTAACAAAATTTAATATGCCAACTCTTAGATTAATGTTCTGATACTTAGAATGCAAAAAACTTAATTTCGTGAGGCATGGTTTTCCCACAAAGTTGCTTGATGGTCTTTGTGAGGCCCTTCCAGGCAGTAACTGCCCAGAGGCTCCATCACAACCCCCTGTGACCACCAGGCCACTGAGTTCTGTGACATTCAGATCGCTTTCTAGTAAGCACTATGTCATCATTTTTTACATCGGGAGTCTTTATTATTTAGACAAGGCCGACCCAGCCAGATAGAGCTTTGATTTGTCAGCCCCTGTGCTGGACCTCAGGATTTCTCCGGAGTCGCTCTCATCGGCTTCATGAAATTCTACAACTT